CATGCGTGCATACATACATACATGCATACATACATACGTACATACATACATGTATACATGTATACATGTATACATATATATATATGTATATATGCATACATGTAAACCATGTAAATATACACATATACACAGAGAGAGAAAGAGAGAGAGAGAGAGAGAGATGTATCCTCCCAGTATACTTGCTGGCCTGTACACCGTCAGTGTAGAGAAGCACCATTGGCACTACAGATGGATGGTAGAATCGGTACGTACGGAGGGCAAATAACCCTGAGGCTTGGTACTGTTCCAGCATCCCCCAACTACAGGGCTTGGCTGCGGCAGGACGCCTGACTATCCACTCCTAGACCCTCTACAAACAACCTATCCCTTAGGGTTCATGTATCCATGCCGTATATACTTGGCCTTAAAGTAGTCCCTATTCGGGTACTTTGGGGCCAAAGCGTAAACCATTTGCATCATGTGGTTTTCTTGCCACGATCTAATAAAGATCGCATCAAAGGTAGTAAGTCAAAGAACCGAGGTCACCCCAACGGGTATTGGTTCGAGCACGTCACCGCCCAAGCTATCATTTGCCCGAAACACATATAGACCACTCCGCCTTGCCAAGAGAGGAAGCGAGAAGGGATTTCATAGGTATTCATGAAATGCTACCAAACAGCAGCTTTTTCGGCATGGTGGCCTGATGACTGCACCTACGTGGGCTTCACACATTTTCCTGCTGTGCAGCAACACAGTGGGCAGCTCTTCGCACCCCTAAAAGAGTCTTAACATCAGAGACCTTGTAAGCCCCCAGCACTAAACCTTGTATAGACCGTTAAAGCTAAGCCCAGAACTCAACAATAGTCATAACCCCTCCAGTGCACTGATCCTGCACAGATCACGAAGCACAAGGGCGATAGCGGTTTGATGGCCTGGAACCGAGCATTTGCCTTCGAGCGGCTCTGCGTGTTGAGGGTTCTACTGCCTTGTCTTTTTGTTTTAAACGCAAAGTTCAGAGGTCCATTGCAGATTCTAGGGGTTTCTGGATTGAGCATAGCAGATAGCAGTGCAATCCGAACCTCAGATTATCTCCCGATCTGTAGGTGGACATCACCTGGTTTATGTAGGTTTTTTTTGAAAGCAGTATCACGACATCTCAAGTACGGACGGTCCACTTCACACCTCGAAGTCTCCAATCATAAACTAATTGATTTGATTAGTTTAATTAATTTAATTAATTTGCGTAATTTACTTACTTAGTTCAATATTAATGGGATTAAATGGATTAGTTTAATATGAAATAAAGTCGAAGACTCATAATCCAAGAAATTAAACCCGAAAGCTCAAACTCCTCAAAACCCTGCAGCCCCTAACAACGGGCAAGACCGCCGTATAACCTTCGGTAGGTTACTGTTTGTGCCTACTAATGTTCGTGCTGTAGGTTGGGCGACGAAGAGGTGGTACAATGCAGGGTCTAGGTTTTAAAGGCTTTACTCACGCCTAATCTACAGCGTAAACTTTAGACGGTTAAACAATTTAAGCAATTCCCTGACCACTTTCAAAGCCTGCAACCTGAACTCAAATCCAAAGCCCTTCTATTGTGCCCGCATAGACCCGTTAGAGCAACCCCTAAACGGGTAGTATAGGATTCTATAATAGGGGTCCCCTTTAAGGGGTAGGGTCCCCTTTGAGAGGTAGTATGGGGCCCTAAACCCTAAACCCTAAACCCTAACCCTAAACCCTAAACCCTCGTGATGCAGCTCGGATGTTTTTGACTTAGTGTAAGCCTGCACAAGGCAGGCTCCTGACTTGCAGCTGCAGGAGAAAGGGGGCCACTACACTTAAAAAAAAAATAGGGTCCCTTTGAAAGGAAACCCTTGCGGCCCCGACACCCCAAACGCCCTGCCTAGGCGGCCTGCAGTCAGCTTCCAGTCTCGATGGGCGGTATCCTGGCTCTCCTTAGCAGTTTAGGGGGTTCAGGGTTTAGGGTTGAGAGTTTAGGGGTTTAGGGTTTAGGGTTTAGGGGTTTGGTGTTTAGGAAGCTCTAAACCCTAAACCCTAAGCTTTGTTATGTCAGGGGGAGGTATCAAAGATCTTTGATAAGGTTGTCTAGGGTTTTTGCAGGCTTTCAGACCAAGCATTCGGTATTTCGGTTTGGGATAGTATACTGTCATGGGAGTATTTCATTCTTGGGCACTTGCGCGCTTGCTGCAGGGTCACAGATATAGTGTATAAGAGTTTATGTTGTAGGACGGAGGGGTTGAATCTTAAGGGCTTCTTGGGTTTTGGGGCTTGTTGAATTTGGAGCAAACCCTAGTCCTAATCCTCAAACCCCTAAACCCTAAACCCTAAATCCTTAACCCTTAAACCCCTAAACCCTAAAACCTAAACCCTAAATCCTAAACCCCTAAACCCGAAAGCCCTAAACCCTAAACCCCTAAACCCGAAACCCTAAACCGGTGGGGTTTTGACGTCCTGAAGGCGAGCCAACCCCCTCCTCTAAGTCGAAGAGACCGGGTCGATTGTCGGCAGTCCTCGGAGCGGGTTCAAGGTTTAGGGTTTAGGGGTCCTTTAAGGGCCCATAAACCCCCAAACTACGGCTGATTATAGAAATCCTACATTTCCCCAGAACAAGGAATATACCATAATTCCCATAGTTTATAGGGTTCTTAAGGTAATCCAGGATTTGGATCATCAGCCGTATGGGTACTTTCGCGTTAAAGTACCTATAAACAGGGTTACTTTCAGACCACCGTGTCTACTATTTGGGTTCATGGACCCTTAAGGGTAGAGTGGTTCTATAGTTTAGAACCCCCAGGGTCCATGTACCCAAATAGTGTATACTTTGGCCCCAAAGTACCTAAATAGGGATTACTTTAAGGCCAAAGTATATACTATTTGGGTACATGGACGCTTTGGGGAGGTGCAGATCCGGGATTCGGGCTTAGGGGCTTGTCAGAGATCATCGGCCGAATGGTGAGGCTCTCGGGGGCTGGGGTTTAGGGTTTAGGGTTTAGGGTTTAGGGTTTAGGGTTTCGGTTTAGGGTGTAGGGTTTAGGTTTAGGGTTTAGGGTTTAAGGTTTAGGGTTTAGGGTTTAGGGTTTAGGGTTTAGGGTTTAGGGTTTAGGGTTTAGGTTAAGGGTTCAGGGTTTAGGG